CTTTTCAATATAAAAATTAAACACAACGGTTCGGAAAATTGTGGTATATAATAAGACGACAAATGCTTAGCAGACTACTATCAAAAAGTACTTATTGTCCTTGGAATCAAAATTTATAGCTCAATTAGTTTTTCTATCTATTTCGAAATTTGAGACAAATAATAACTCATATTTTAGTCTCTATTCTTGGAAGTGAGTAATTATTTAGCAAGGCGTTTTCGGACATACTTCACAGAAACTTTTTTTTTTGTTTTGGAGTTTCGAATTTAAATTTTAAGTTTAACCAGTTAAACCTGAAGCATCCTGTATAAATAATTGACTGTGACTATATAAATAACTATATAAAAGTTCAACAATAATGCCACATGATGGTGAACAGTCAGACATTTAATTTATTTACAAATAAACAAAGAACAAAGCTTGTAACATCTAGACTAAACAAGAAAGTTAGCGACCTTGATAAATCAATATTAAATAAACTTTTACAATTCTTGCACAAAAAAGGCTAATTAACCGATCGATACCAGACAAAGGGGTTTTATTTATTATAAACTAAAAATGTACGTAAAGTGTTATTTATATATTTTCTTTTAGTTCTTCTTCATTGTTAAAGCAATATACATCAATCGAAAATCGGAAAAGCATAGCTCAACTTTTCAGACGGGTGCAAGGTCTTTTGACGTTACTCCTGACTGATTTAAACAAAAGTACATGTTACGCCTAAGAAAACATGCCACGCTTAGGGGACATCGATTTTAATATAAGGTTGTGCGAGACAAGTCACGACTGGTGGCCGCTATTTTCATGACAGTTCAGTAAAACGAAACAAGTTATATAAACTTCTTGCTCCTAGATTAAGTGTTTTTCAAAAAGGAGTTTTGGTTTATAATTTGGACAAAACTATAATAAATAATAAAATACAGAAGCAATACAGCCGTTCTCAGCTCCATAAGAAACGAAGAATAGTGATACCTTCAGCTGAAGGAATAGATACCGATGGCACCGTTGATGATACTGCAACTAACCACTCACCTAAATTAATTAGAATGCCAACAAACCAATGACATCATTCTAAACTTCTGCCGGCTAAATTAGGAGGTTGAATGAAAGACAGGGATAAATGTATAATACAATTAAGTATGGTTTATATTAGACTAAGAATATATCTACCAGTGTGAAAATCTTAAAATTAGTGACAATATCAAAGGGGAACAAAACAAAATGACTGTATGTAATAGTAACTTTCTACTAGTCAAAAGTGTTATAAATAGAACTGAGCGAAAAAAAAAAAAAAACACCTAGATTTCGGATATCGTTCACTTCGCAGACATTGCATTCAAGGTGTGTCTACAAGATCAGCGGCCTATGATTGTTACTAGGGGAATAGCAAATAGGCGTAGACGAAGCAGTTTTTCCATGGCAACAAAGGACGGTTCGAGACGATCAACCAACAAAGCGGTGAAGGGGGATGACTCAGTCCGCACAAGGAAACTACGAGGAAAAGGTCTTTGCCTGTAGTCGTCCAGGGTGTATCCTGGACGACACCGCGATCAAAAGGGCAGCAGTAGTAGCAATGACCTGAGGTTTTAGGAACGAGCTCGGTTGGACAAGTTGTTTAGAAACGGTACCGGATAAACTGGACTCGACCAGGGAAGGTGGAGTGCTCCCTTGCCAGTCTTGTTTCTTTTGAATGAGTTCAACTAAAACTTGAATTATGCTTATTTAATCTCTCATCGCTACACCCTCAGGACTCGCCCGAAATTTATTTAGATTAGCAAGGTGATTCCAACCATAGTACGCTTAGTATACCAACACGTCTAGGATAAACATTTTATCCGTCAATCGTCACGTATGCATCTAATAATTCGTTATCTTGAAATCATTACATTTTCAATTCTTTTTTTTTTTTCCTAATATCTTGCAAGCAGTTTTGAAAAGGCTTTTGTTTTTTCGTGATATCCTTATAGTACAAGTTTCACGATATACCAATTTTTAGGAAATTCTTAATATGTTTTAGTGGAACTTCAGTATCATTATTACATTTTCTCACAATAAATCTACATGTAAAAGAAGCAATTTTTGTATTCATTTTTCCATAACGGGATAGAAAGAAATTGCCAAATAGTCATTAGTCAGTCTTACCATTTTTATGATCAATATTCATAAATTTCAGAAGAAACTTTAAATATACACCGTTTCACAGATTTTGAAAACTGACTAACCTCCATGACGAACTGAAAAGGAAGATTGTACAATAATAATAATTTTGTATTAATAATTGAGATCACTAAACCTATTTAAAAGGAAAATCGTTTCCTTGAATAAAACAACAAAGCTTTTCAAAAGTTTACAGTAATATATGTTTGTAGCAATGGTGGAACATCTTCATCTCCTTTGATTGGAAAATTTTGTGGTACCACTATTCCGCGATTAATTCCATCACATACCAATCAGCTCTTTTTACGATTTCGAACAGACGAAGTAACAGAAGATAAGGGTTTTCGAATATTGTGGTCAGCTACTTCTACAGGTATGGATTTCATACTTTTTAGGTTAATACTTTTTAAGGTGTCGCATCATTCAAAACTAAACTGAAATAATTGAAATAAATACGTATAAAGGAGACTGTGGTGTAATGATAAACAAAAACGAAAGATCTTATCCCAACTAACAACAACAGTTTAAAAACAACGCGGACACGTGTTCCGCTCACTTACACGTTGTGAGCATTTTCGACCCAAAACTAAGTGACTTATTTTTATTAGATAATCTGAAAATGAAGTTAAAGCGGTTCTTATCCTGTAGGTGATACACTTCACCAAGGACAAGCATTTAAGTTTATTTTTCTTTCATTACAGCTAATCATACTTCCCAAATAGAATCCGTTACATAAATTAGGCAAACACCTACAATTTAGGCATGAGAAAAAGGGAAAGAATAATAATTTTAAGCGGTTCTAAAATTCTTAGATTAATAAATATGTTCTTGTGATTTTAATTTAAAGGGACAACTTAAGTCATATAAATAATGAAAAACAATTTCCTGTTCTTTTTTTGCAACGCTAAACAAAAACAGTGGCATACTACTTGTTGAATATTTAAGTTAAGCCTAAAAAAACTATCCCCCGATCTATTCCTTTGCCAATAGTATTTAAACTTATCCTAACCGAAACATTCAAATAGTCCAACAACAACAAACCTTATAATTACTCTAAAGGGTTAGAACGTTCGCATGTATGGCATATGATCCTTCCGAGATCACTTTAATAATATTCGAAAAGGCTACAATGATCGACTGCACCTCAATGACGTCAAACCCAGGTACGACCATTCTCTTTACAAAACACATGCAAATGAACTGACCCATAACTACTCCTAACCAAATTACGATTATCAAACATATATATACACAAAAGCTCAATACTATTTATTTCTAGCAAAAAAAAGAAAGTAGATTGTATTGTACACAAGTATTTGGATTCATACGATAAGAGCGTATTTCAGTGTATATTATGGAAATAATTACCCAACAGACTCTATGGAAGTCAATAAGAAATAGGCGAGATAGATTAGTAGGACACCTTCTCAGGCATGAAGGTCTAGTAAAAGACATATTAGAGGCAGAAACGGAAGTTAGGAGGGGTAGAGGTAGACCTAGGTTAGATTACTGTTCGCGAATAGTTAAGGCGAAGATTAGAGTAGGATAGGAAAGAGCGGAGGTGCGTGTCCAACCAGTCCTAGGACTAACGACCTAATGATGATGATGAGTTACCCAATATTGATTTAGTTTACACAAAAGGGAAGGACTGTACAACTGTAGTGAACTTCACCGTAAAGCAATTTAGCAGTATATATACTTTTAAACTTTTTTAACTTGAACACACTGTTGAACCACTCAGTATAAAGACTGATCTATCTTGGTCATAAAAGTTTATCGTCACGCTATTTGAAACAAATCATTCCTTCAACTACAGCTTTTAGACTGCTCCAGTTATCAACACTGTGTATAAGGATAGACACGATCAGAAGTATTTAAAAAAAACTATTCAATTACTTACGTAAATTATGAAAGAGAAAGATTCCAACATATCTCCTTGGGTATATAGCATTTGGCGTACTCTTTTCTACTATTCATTATTTTTCAATAGATTTTAGTGTTTTTGAGATCAACGTGCAGCATAACTATCAAAAGGACTATGGATTTTCCTATTATAGCCACATCGTTTAAGTTTGTTAAATGACGTAATATAACGAAAGGAATTAACTAATGACCAATAGCCATTATCTGTTTCTTATCATGTGATGGTTTATGAAAAATTTGGGCAATCTTAGTGGTAGCACTGTTATTCAATTCTTTTTTCTGAAATCCAGCTGACCAGAATTATACATATATTACTACGAATTTGACGACTGTTTGGATGGAATTATTTTTACATGCGTATATTTTTCTGAGTTTGTTGATGGGCCTAAGTGAAGGTTTATTACATGTACCTGTTGTTAAATTTGCTATTGTACAGAACTGGAAATTCAAAATTTACCTTTCAAGTAGGGTTCTATTAAATTCGTTATCTATATTATAGATATACCCTTTCTGGAATTTACCTACCACTTTGGACCTCATGTTAATTATAAGTTTAACCCACTAATAAAAAATAAAAGCAGATCTTGTCCAACCACGTAAACTGTAACATCTCAAACGTATCATATCATATCATATCAAGTTAACTGTGAGTGACAAAAATAACTCCGTTTAATAAACCTCTACTGATTTTTAGCCCCTCGCCTTGCGCTCTTCCCAACTCTCTAGCACGCTTTAATTTACTACTATTTGTTATTTGATGATCGTACCATAACTATGGTTTAGATACTTGCATGCCTTAGAATCGAGTAGAATATACTTGTCATAATGTCCTAAATGTGTAGCTGTATAAAGAGGATACATTATTTAATTTTGGATTAAATAGGTTGTGGAGGCTCTTTGTCATCTCCAGATGGAGTGATTATATCACCTCAATACCCTGAATCCTACAGCAGCAATTTGGAGTGTTATTGGCGTATATCAACGAACGTTGGTTCTTTCCTCAGAATAACAATTACAGATATTGAACTGGAACAGTCCGATTGCAACTCAGATTATATTCAGGTATTGTTATAATAATGATAATTTTATCCAAGAAGAGTAAATTTCAATATCATACAATTATTCTTTCAGTAGTAGATTACTTGTAATATAATACTTTGAATTTAATTTAAATGGGGGTTTGCTCACTCTCGTATTGTAACACGTCAGCGTTTGGAAGTACCCATACTACTGATATGTTTTCAATCATGCTCTGAAATATAGTTCCTTCATTTCTCACAAAATAAGCTGTCTCTAAAATAAACTGTTCCAATTATAGATTTACGATGGCTTGCAAAATTCAAAGCTTCTAGGAGTGTTTTGCACCATGAAAAATGTAGTTCCCATTCATTCAACGTCAAATCATGTTGGCATTAAATTTGTATCCGACGGGGCCATAGAAGGACGTGGATTCCATTTGCAATANTAATTTTATACAACGATCTCAACGACCATTCAATGAGAATTAATCATTGCAGCAACGAATATAGCCTACTAGTATCTCACTTTGGTATAATTTGACATATCAGTACATTATAGTAAACAGTTAATATGCCTTACAGGTATTTGACGGGCACGACAACAATGCCAGACTTCTATATAGTGGTTGCAGTGTATCAGATAAACCAATAAGATCTACATCAAACGTATTGTATATCAAATGGGAATCCATTTATGATTCCAGATTTTCATTGGCATGGAATGATATGGGGAAATGCACTAATACAATGAACACCAATATCGCTCGAAAATGTAAGGAATTCGATGAAATCTTAATTTATTTTGAAAATCTGTTCATCATCTTTTATGATAGCTTCTAAATGTGGTGAAGAAATAGCAATTGACATGTCATTAGTTTCCAATTATAAATTAACATCACCTGGTTATCCTCATGGTTATGGTTCCAATTTGGAATGCACATGGACATTTTATACTATGGTACCAGAAAACCATTTAGCTATTAATTTTAATGATATCAATCTTGATAATAATATTGATAAGTGCTTCTTTGACAAAATTGAAATTTACACTGAAAATGAATTAAATGGATGGAAAATTCAAGATACAGTCTGTTTGCCTAATGCAACAAATGCGGTTTTCAATTATGGAAGTTCTGTTAGAATTATTTTCAAGAGTAATCGGTACGGAAACGGTTCTGGATTTTCTGCGAATGTTTTACAAGGTAATTTAAATGTGCTATCATTATCGACCTTTATACGTTTCTTATAATATTGTTATATTATGTTACTCAACAACCTGCTTTGTAGGAGAACTGTAACATGCAATTATATTAAGTTTTATGAATTATATACCTACTACAAGCATTGTAGTGAACGCCATTTGTAAAAAATTATTACATTTTAAGGGATTGAAGAACTTTTTGTTACGTTTCTTCCCTTGTGGATTAGATGTCACATTATGGATAATTCTATAACATGTCTAATCCTTATAAATAGTTGCCGCGAGATCGGAAGAGTTAGTGAGTCAAGATCAAGTCATGAGGCGATACAGGGCGAAGTAGAAAGAGCGCAGAAGTGTCAAGGTGTGCAATATAGTGTTAGTTACACAGACGCAACTTTTAAATAAATTTAGTTATAGTGAGGAAGGTGTTTAATTACAATAAGTTCATCAGACTCATTATCAATTTGAGTACGACGTGGAGCGCCTTGAAGTTCATAGACCAACCAAATTCATCGATGGAGTGAGGGACGGTGAACTACATCCAGTCCTCAGACTAGCTGTCGCAAAACTCAAAGTGAAGCACTGTCCCATGCTTTAGAATTTGAAGCGGGGAAACAAGTTTCCAAGGGTCATGCACGAGCGCGACAAGTCAAAATCTGCAATGGCACAATTACAAAGGAAGGTATTGCGTCGCTCATCAATGAATATATGAGAGGAAAGCCACTGCTACAGACGCGAGAGCTGAGAATTTTGCTCGAGACTGCAGGAACTACGTCGGTCGTTCTAAATGCTGGAATTGTGGAAGAATGGCTAAGATCAGCCAACATTGTGGGGCACAGTTTGGCTCACACTCCCCAAACCCCCGAAGAAGTCATCATTTCAAGACTAGACGGAACCAACTCATTATCCATAGAAGGATCTGTCAACAAGCACACATGCAAGAATTGTTATCTACACAGGGGCATCCAACACTATCGGTCGGTCTGATGCGGTATCGGACTGACGAATTCGACCTTTGGCTGAAGACCGATCTGGACTACAGCTACCGGAGTTTGACATCGAGCATCACCCAGGCAAACAATACGGCAACGCAGATACACTGTCCCGGAGACGCTGCGTGGGAAACTGCTAATATTGTTCATCTGTGACATCGATCTGTTGTAATCCAACCACCGTTTAGCCTGAATGTTCCTAAGAAGATAAGGAATTAAAAGAACACTAGAGGAAAGACGAAGTTAATGACTCAATAATAAGATGGAAAGAAGGTGGGACTTCAAGTTCATCATGGGCCGATGTGAGCTATCTAAATCAAGCAATGAAAAGCTATTGGGCGCAATAAACTTCGACATTTTGAAGAGAATAAGGGATAGTTCAGATAGATCTAGGAACAAATTTCAACTGGTACTTTTGAAGAAAATAATCTTAAAAGTCTTAGAGGTGGGCGAGAAAATATTATTGGCTGGAGAAGGTAACACTAAACTAATGGGCATTACATAAACGAGTACTACGCTCTTCCGTTACTCTGGAGATTAATCTAAGAAGAGAATGTCAACAATCACCAAAATGACTGTTACCGACACATATCACTATTCCTCTTAGCTCATAGATCCGCCATCCATGAGAAAAATGNCACATACCACTATTCCTCTTAGCTGATAGATCCACCATCCGTGAGAAAAATGGAAGAATATCGGGCAGCATTTTATTTGGAAAAGAACTCAAATTGCCAGCGGACATCATGTTTGATTGTCCTGGATACTCTCCAACACCTGCAGATAAATACGCGGGCGAACTACGAGGACGACTAGAAGTCATTCAAAAAGTTTCTATTTATTTACAATATTTATTAACCTCTGCAATGTAGATTTTTTTACTAACTCACCTACTTATTGATCTTTTAAAATATAAAGCTTCAACCATTCTTCGACTTCAATAAAGTTTCTTGTTAATTTTTTTTAACTTAAATTAATTTTATTGCAAAAAATGCAAGAAAATTGTTCTCACCCTCACTTTAATTTCGTTTGTGTAACAACTGAAGAAGCACATCCCTGAACAGTAGCAGTAACGGCCAGCTGCATGGATTTTACCTAGGGTATACAACTTTATTGGTTATAACACAAAGATAAAACCCTTGAAGGATACACTATTGAATAAATGATTTATGAGATTTACTCCTTGAATTAGTGACCTTGTCTGGTCTGCTGGATCTTCTTTGTTGGTTTGAAGATGGTTCTGATGTCCTTTGTTTCTTTAGGGCTCTGCCTATTCAGTGCGTAACCGTTGGAGGATATGGTAGATATGCCAGAGAGGTAGTGAGCCGTTCGTTGATCTCTGGCATTTAATTAAAGGCTTCGAAACGCGTTTTAAATTTCTAAACGTTTTGTGGAATTTTAGGTTTTATTTATTTATTTAGTTATCTTCCATAACACTGAATGATATTTTGTGACTTACACCATTATTTACTTCCATACTTTAGCAGTCTTCGATACCTTAGCAATATGAAAAAGCTATCTCATAGTAGGTAAACATACATATACATACTACGTAAAGTCAACAACTATCGAAATCAGAGGTGGGTTGCTATGAAGCTATATTCGTTGATATTAACGAAAAAAAGGTATGCTGATATGCATTAGGCGGCCTAAATATCACCCACAACAATTTCACTCTCGTATTGTAACACGTCAGCGTTTGGAAGTACCCATACTACTGATATGTTTTCAATCATGCTCTGAAATATAGTTCCTTCATTTCTCACAAAATAAACTGTCTCTAAAATAAACTGTTCCAATTATAGATTTACGATGGCTTGCAAAATTCAAAGCTTCTAGGAGTGTTTTGCACCATGAAAAATGTAGTTCCCATTCATTCAACGTCAAATCATGTTGGCATTAAATTTGTATCCGACGGGGCCATAGAAGGACGTGGATTCCATTTGCAATATTCTACAGGTATGACGTTTTTTACTATTTCAACTTAACTTCAGATTTTATTGATAAATTATCTTATTAAGATTGTAGAAATACTGTTACTGGGTTCAATGGGGCCATAGAGAGTCCTAATTTTCCTAATAACTTTCCTCATGAAATGAATTGCACATGGAAAATTGAAGTGTTACGAGGGAATAAAATAAACCTGACCATTTCTCGTTTAAGTCTTTTAAAGGAATTCCAATTGGATTCGAAGAATTGTTCTATAAATTATTTAGAGGTAGGAACATATGATTGATAGTTTTTTTAAGATATAAATAGGGCACAAAACCATCATAAAGTTAATTCAGTTAATTCAAAATTGGAGAAAATGAAGGGCGATGAATGATAAATAAAAATTAGGAACGTTAGAAGAAGAAAATTTAAGGAAAGAAATATGGGGTAAGAGGGTGAAATAGATAGAATGAAAAATCGATACGAGGAGAGAGATATAAACATAAAGCAAGAGTAAATAAATGAGTGGACAAGGATTGGGTAGGAATGTAGGGTAAATGAGCAGGGAAAGATGCAAAAGATAGAGGATCGAAGTAAAAAGAAAGAAGTTGCAGAGTTAGTGAGAGGGAGAATGACAGTTTGATATATGTGTTAGGAGAATGTGTTGAGAACAAAGGAATGGTTGAATGCGGATGTATGGTTGATAATAGTGGCAAAGAAAAGAAATGTTGAGAAAAACCTTTAAAAGGGTTGATAAATTTAGATGATGCAAAAGAGCTTTTTAAGTATTTATAGAAATAAGGAATGTGTAAGGAAAAAAATTGTTAATTTATAAATTAAGAATATATAGATACTTATAATATTGTTATGTTATGTTACTTAACGTTACGTTTCTTCCCTTGTGGATTATATGTCACATTATGGATAATTCTATAACATGTCTAATCCTTATAAATAGTTGCCGCGAGATCGGAAGAGTTAGTGAGTCAAGATCAAGTTATAAGGCAATACAGAGCGAAGTAGAAAGAGCGAGAAGTGTCAAGGTGTGCAATATAGTGTTAGTTACACAGACGCAACTTTTAAATAAATTTAGCTATAGTGAGGAAGGTGTTTGATTACAATAAGTTGATCAGACTCTTTATCAATTTGAGTACGACGTGGAGCGCCTTGCAAGATTAGCACATCCATCTAACCCTTTGAAGTTCATAGACCAACTGATTGTGCATAAATTCATTGATGGAGTGAGGGACGGTGAACTACATCCAGTCCTCAGACTAGCTGTCGCAAAACTCCAAGTGAAGAACTGCCCCATGCTTTAGAATTTGAAGCGGGGAAACAAGTTTCTAAGAGTCATGCACGGGCGCGACGAGTCAAAATCTGCAATGGCACAATTACAAAGGAAGGTATTGCGTCGCTCATCAATGAATATATGAGAGGAAAGCCACTGCTACAGACGCGAGAGCTGAGAATTTTGCTCGAGACTACAGGAACTACNACACCGCTAAAGGATTTACTGCCAATTATATAACGGCATGATTAATTCTTGAAGATTGTTGTTGATAATAATTAACAATAAATTTTTAGGCATGTGGTGCGCGAATAACTACAGAAGATAGTGGTATTATTGGAAAACATACCTCTTTGCAATATGGCGGCAACAATTATTGCATTTGGACAATATCTGCTGCAAACCCATGTAATTTGTGCAATTATTCACTTTTTGGCTTTTACTGATACTGTACATTCTTTCATTTAGCCCAGCATATTTATTTTACATTTACTCACATATTTCCCGACAATTCCTTCTCTGACGATAATTCCACTGTCATTGCGACGGTCCATAACGGTGACAGCGACACTGATCCAATTTTACTAAAACTCACTCCGCTCAACGGCCAGCAAGAAGTTTATACAACCACGAGCACTGGTGATAGTTTACATATTATAACTCGAAACGATATTGAATTTGAAGCATCTTATTCTATTCTTGAAACAAGTTAGTAGCGCGATACTTGAGGAAAACTATAATCCTATCGTTAAACGAAATTTGTAGGCTGTGGAGGTATGTTTAGTCATATGAACGGCTACTTCGCTTCTCCTTATTTTCCGAAAAGTTATCCAGTAAATATGGAATGTGAATGGATTATTCAAACATCTCCAGGTTTGTAAAGCCTTTATACATTGGCTATGTTTTATTATTGGTGTAATCTTTTTAGGGTGGTCGGTGTCATTGAGCTTTGACCATTTTGATATCCTGGATTCTGAAGAATGCGATGTAGATTTTCTGGAGATACGAGAAGCAAATTCAACTGGAAAAGTATTACAAATACTATGTGGTGACACAATACCCGCAACTGTATCATCAAGGATCAACTTATGGGTACTGTTTAAAAGTTCTGAATCAAACTTAACCGGAACTGGTTTCAAAGTGCATTTTAGCCTAAGTAATTTTTTCTCGTAAAAACTGTGATATTCAAAATAAAAACTTTAAATGATCTTTTACAGGCCCTGCAAGTGAATTAAGTGGTTCATTTGGACAAATTATGTCTCCCTTTTATCCATTGTATACTGCACACGATATCAGTACTCATTGGAAAATAACAGTTCCTTTTGGACACTGCATTTCACTAGACCTTAAAAATATTTACAATAGGCTGTGTGTTGAGTTTAAACTACTGGCAAAGGTACTTTGGGTAGGTATTCGGATCATACACAAAAACTACAGCACATATTTATAATAATGAAGGTACCATCCCAACCAATAATTGTGTAGAATGCTTTTGGCATATTTCTAGCATAATCTGTTTTTGGATAGTTTTCTTTTATGACCCAAAGTAGTAATAAGGCTCTATACAAATTTAGAATTTACAAATCGTACATTTCGACTTTCGTAAAATTTTCTTTCTTCTGGTCTCAGAAAAATGTGGATGTTCAGACACAAGTACTATTCGTCGCGCCTCGTATCTGAACTTCGGACCAACTTTTCTCTGGACTTTAAGATAACCTACACAAGCTAGACATCCAAATCCTTTTTTTTAGTTTATGTCAATGGGATGGTTTGGAGCAAATAATTCTAATGGCATTTTTAATCAATTGGATTTATGTGGAGTACGACTGTAAATGTTTACTGCTGTACTCAGAGCCAGATTCTACATGTTTTCCGGAAGTTTACTGTCGTACATATACGCTCATACGTTCTGTTAGGTGCTTTGACTGAATCTTTCCGATACGCCGTTATGTTTTGGTGTATCCGGACTGATGTTCAACTCCTAGTTTATTTAAGATTTTTAGTGTGAACTTTCCAGTATATTCAGTGTACCCTAATCTTCTCTGAGATGACACACTTTTACGTCGTACAGCAAAATCCTGACACTTCTCACGAACGCTTCAAAACAGTGGCCTATTTCACCGTTTGCCTTCATTTGATATGCCTTTTCCAGTTACGACGCGTCGTCAATAATCTCTGAGATGTATCGATAACAGAGGTCTGCGAAATTTTTTTTTGAAAGGCCCATTTATACATGCCATAATAAGGCATAATTATTTTCCGATCGTTCTCTGATATTTCAATGTTTGGCAATTCTTCCAATAGAATATATAATAATAGATATATATAATACTTAATTCGTATAATTTTCTATCCAAACAGTAGTTTCAAAATTAAGTGGTAATAGGCAACTCCACAGGAACGAGTCCTTTTGTCTTCAGGTTCCATTACATTTGTGCTTTTTATTATGAAATCCTCACTCGTCTGATCGTCACTCGTTTTTGGTAAACCTTGTTTAATCACATCGTTCAGGCACACTGAAGGGATATTTCTACTCCCTCCGTTTTTAAGTCTGCGGCAGTATCTTTATTTGCCCATTTAATCGCCATTTTGTTGGAATTGTCAAGTCTTAAAAATTAATTTAAAATTAGTCAGATGACTCCGTCGCTCCGGAGTCTGCTGGGAACCTTACTAGCGTCGTCACCCGTGATAACACTAATAGTTTTTTAGACAATTTATTTACACAAACCTAAACCTAAGTGCAACAATCACACAGAGTTATAATTATATATATATATATATAGACAAGAACAAGTTAAGAAACCATGAAAAAAAATATATATACAGACAGCAACGAACATCGATGACAAGGTAACAACATAGGCACAAAACGGTAGAGACGTTGGAAAAAATATATACAAAAAAAATACGTGGCTGGTTTAAGTGGTTAATGCTCCCTCTCCATTACCGCTGGTAGGTGGAATGTCGGAGATAACCAAATAGTATGTTGAAAAAAAAAAGCGCAAAGTAGTGGTTGCAAAGTGATCTCTTTCTCCCTTGTTGCTGGTGGGTGGAATGTCAGAGATGATCTTTGCTTATTCTGGGACTGGTATTTATGGCAACTTGGGGTAACGAAAAGAGGTGGAAAATGGAGGGTTTGAAATTGGGTAATGAAATCGGGTAAAATTGGTAAAGTATAAACGAATACAATATAGCAAGATACTTAGGGGGAAAAATGGAATAGATGATTGTGGATAAGAGAAAATCAAAACGATAAATAGAATTACAAATAGAAAATGAATGAAAGAAAGAATTTATCGTATATGAAATACGTAATGAAATAAATAGGAAATAGAGAAAAAATAGATAAATTTGGTAAACAACTAAAGTATGTATTAAAAGAAAAAAGATAATGGAAAAAGTAGTTAATAATTTTTTATGAAGTTCAATTTCTGAAATATGCCTAATGCAGTGACTGTTGTTGCTAAGGGTGAAACACAAACGAATTGATAAGGGAAGCAGGTAGGTCAGCGTACCGGTCGTTGGAATCGATGTACAAGTTTCGCGGAATAAATTTTGCATGTACTTTCCGGATGAGTACAACACCCGACACATCATAATCTGTCGTTTCATTTGTAAATATTTTAGAATTTTGATCTTCTCTTATACTCCCGTTACTTGTGTCTTTCTTGCCCATCACGTTAACAATTGATCATGATTTTGTTGATCTGTAACTCTGATTGTTATTTCTGCCTAGATTAGACCTACTTGTTCTTGTGTAAACTTTGTTCTTTCTCTCGTAATTACCATACTTGCTATTTTGATCCGATATTCTGTTGCACTGATAACATTTAAATTTTCCACGATTTCGGCAATCGCGTTTAATATGTCCAGCAACCCCACAACCATAACAGCGTTCAGAGGACTCAGCCTTACTCCAAGTTTCACTGAAACGTAATTTTATACAACGATCTCAACGACCATTCAATGAGAATTAATAATTGCAGCAACGAATATAGCCTACCAGTATCTCACTTTGGTATAATTTGACAGATCAGTACATCATAGTAAACAGTTAATATGCCTTACAGGTATTTGATGGGCACGACAACAATGCCAGACTTCTATATAGTGGTTGCAGTGTATCAGATAAACCAATAAGATCTACATCAAACGTATTGTATATCAAATGGGAATCCATTTATGATTCCAGATTTTCATTGGCATGGAATGATATGGGGAAATGCACTAATACAATGAACACCAATATCGCTCGAAAATGTAAGGAATTCGATGAAATCTTAATTTATTTTGAAAATCTGTTCATCACCTTTTATGATAGCTTCTAAATGTGGTGAAGAAATAGCAATTGACATGTCATTAGTTTCTAATTATAAATTAACATCACCTGGTTATCCTCATGGTTATGGTTCCAACTTGGAATGCACATGGACATTTTATACTATGGTACCAGAAAACCATTTAGCTATTAATTTTAATGATATCAATCTTGATGATAATATTGATAAGTGCTTCTTTGACAAAATTGAAATTTACACTGAAAATGAATTAAATGGATGGAAAATTCAAGATACAATCTGTTTGCCTAATGCAACAAATACGGTTTTCAATTATGGAAGTTCTGTTAGATTTATTTTCAAGAGTAATCGGTACGGAAACGGTTCTGGATTTTCTGCGAATGTTTTACAAGGTAATTTAAATGTGCTGTCATTATCGACCTTTATACATTTCTATTTTGATTGTTAGAGTGTGGTGGAAGTATTACTGAAAGTAATGGCTTGATTAATATAAATGAAACGTATTTGAAAATGTATCAATCAAACTCTACAAGTAGACTAATAGTGAGTTTTTGCAGTACCGTTCTTAATTCAATATATACAGATTCTGCTAATAATATTTTAGTGTCAATGGAATATCACTGTTAAAACGGGGGAATATCACTGTTAANTTAAATTTGCGGTTACAACCACTGTTTACTGTTTTTCATGAAAAATTAAATCCATTAACGACTAAATGGATTGGATAATTTGGAGGTTATTTTCGCTCCTTAAAAATGTTTATCCGAAAAAAAAATACCGATCTCATCCTTCTTGATTTAGATAAACATATTATAACCGCAACTAAATCGGAAGCGGCCATTTTGAAACGTTTTCATTTTAGTAACGTCTAAAAGAAACAGAAGAATTTTTTAGAAATTCTCGTATAAACAAATTTAACGCATGGGCTATAAACCCGTGTTTTTNTTTCTGAAATATGCCTAATGCAGTGACTGTTGTTGCTAGGGGTGAAACTCAAACGAATTGATAAGGGAAGCAGGTAGGTCAGCGTACCGTCGTTGGAATCGATGTACAAGTTTCGCGGAATAAATTTTGCATGTACAACAACCGTCACATCATAATCTATCGTTTCACTTGTAAATATTTCAGAATTTTGATTTTCTCTTATACTCCCGTTACTTGGGTCTTTCTTGCCCATCACGTTAACAATTGATCATGATTTTGTTGATCTGTTCCTCTGATTGTTATTTCTGCCTAGATTAGACCTACTTTTTCTTGTGTCATGTGTTGTGTATGCCGCAAAACTTCCATCTGTGATACCATAATGAATGGGTAGCAGGTCACTAAATGTTAATGTAAGAAAACCAAAAATCAGAAGCAGATGGAATTCTTGAGAAGGCGAAGGTGAATACAATTATGTTAAATGTCATAATTGCATTCGNTTGTTGATCTGTTCCTCTGATTGTTATTTCTGCCTAGATTAGACCTACTTTTTCTTGTGTAAACTTTATTCTTTCTCTCGTAATTACAATACTTGCTATTTTGATCTGATATTTTGTTGCATTTATAACATTTAAATTTTCCGCGATTTCGGCAATCACGTTTAATATGTCCAGCAACCCCACAACCATAACAGCGTTCAGAGGACTCAGCCTTACCCCAAGTTTCACTAAAACGTAATTTTATACAACGATCTCAACGACCATTCAATGAGAATTAATCATTGCAGCAACGAATATAGCCTACTAGTATCTCACTTTGGTATAATTTGACATATCAGTACATTATAGTAAACAGTTAATATGCCTTACAGGTATTTGACGGGCACGACAACAATGCCAGACTTCTATATAGTGGTTGCAGTGTATCAGATAAACCAATAAGAACCAATAATTGTGTAGAATGCTTTTGGCATATTTCTAGCATAATCTGTTTTTGGATAGTTTTCTTTTATGACCCAAAGTAGTGATAGGGCTCTATACAAATTTAGCCAGCATTCCGTCTTGTATGAACTTAATGCGTCCCATTCTCACTGAATTAACGAAAAAAAGGTATGCTGATATGCATTAGGCGGCCTAAATATCACCCTCAACAATTTTACTCCACCTTTTAGCAGTTATTAACTGGCTCTTGTACCACAAATAGAAGAAGAAAGTGTGATCTGCTGAAAATTTTTTACACGTTTATCATAAAATTGGGTGATAATAATTTTCGAAATTCGTATAGGTAACAATCCCGAATAAATAGTTTCGTCTTATGCTTAGTGTCGTTTTTTATAACCTCTGTGAGCAGCGTTGATAATCGCTGATCTTGTTATTCACATTAACCGTACGCTTTGATATTTTAAGGATGATCAATCAGGTTGGTTAATGCACCAAGTCTATAGGACTACTATTGAATTGACAGAAGAATTATTGAAATTTATAGAGAAATATGTACCCATATTTAAACTTTTAGATATGGAGCATCAATAAAAATTCCGAAAGGAACATGATTGAGAGATACTGTAGTGATCTTAATTATGAGACCCAGTTAACTGTAAATTCCGATAAAGTTGAAATACACTTTGCAACTGATAGCTCATTTATTGGAGATGGATTTCGATTGGAATGGCAACAATTTGGATGTGGCGGTATTTTGAAACGTCCTTCAGGAAGTTTTACGTCTCCTAACTATCCGCAATCCTATCCTCCTGGCGTTACGTGTAAATGGATTATTGAAGTAAATTATGGAAATAGTGTGGAATTACTTTTCAAAGAAATTGACACAGAAGACAGATTTAAATTTGGAAATGATTATATAGAAGTATGTATTTGTCTTGCATAGCTTACATTCGTCATATGTGAAAAATTGTGATAATTACTTCTTTGCCTGCATTAACTAGGTCATTAATGGGCCCGAAAGTGATTATCCTGTTCTAACTACTTTGAGTGGTCGTCATTCTAAGCCCGTTGTAGTAACAAGTACCGGAAATTTTATGACCGTCTTATTTATTAGTGGCGATTTAAGTATGAATGGGAATGGATTCATAGCTAGTTATTCTTCTATTCCTTCAAGTAGTGAAATTCGAGTTAAAAAGAGTGATAATCAGCTTAATTAAATTTTTTTTAGAGTGTGGAGGAAAATTTACAGCTTTCAATGGTTCGTTTCATTCACCTAATTATCCATACAATTATCAACTCCAAGAAAGCTGCGAATATTACATTGAAATAGAAGACAGTCATACAATAGAACTGCTTTTTGTTGACTTTGACATTGCAAGTGATTCTTCCTGCAATCAAAGTTATATCAAAATATATGACGGTCCTACACAAGCATATCCCACGTTGAAAAAGTTGTGTGNCCTAATCTTGTCCAAAGTGACGTATACTGTGAATGGACAATCACGGTATCCAATGGAAGACGAATTACATTAGAATTCCTAGACTTAGAGTTAAGTTCGAATTTACAACATGAACAAGGCATTGCTTACTCTTTTGGACAAGATCCACGAAGTGATGTCGCATTTTTGAAAAAATATGAATCCGGCCAAATAATTAAATCATCAGAAAATGTTTTAATTCTGTATTTTTGGAACTATATACCATCAAATGTTCGTGGATTTAAAGTTCAATTTTTATCAAATGAACCCACAGGTGGTTACTTACTTATAAATAATACTGATACCATTTACACTTGTTTATAGGCGCAGTGCTCTGAAAATATTTTGTAGGATTAGTAAGCGGTTTTTGGCGAAATCCTTAAATATTCATTACGTTAAGTGCGTATTGAATAAAAATAACTAATGTGTAGGGCAATCCGATAAATCACTAACCAAACCCATGTTGTTCTATACTTACAAGACCAATTTATAATTTCTACCTTAATTTTCTCCCAATATATGAGACAAAATGAATTAAATAAAGAGCATTAACTTTTTGTCAGAAGATGATGAAAACAAGCAAGACTCCTGCCTCTTCCGTATATTATTACTTACCTACTGTATCTTACTTCTCTAAAATTCCTATTAATTATCTTATAAGCCCCATCCGTCTTACCTGCTTCAAACTTTTCTTCCACTTCTTTACATCTCATATCAATCCAATATTCATTAGCTGTCCTTCACTTTATAATTATTTTTAACTTTAACTTTTCCAAATGTTTCCTTTTCTCTTCTTCATAATTTTGAATTTAAGATTAGTCTTCATAACTACTACGTTTTGATCACTATCTGCATACACTTATTCCTGAATAACTCATACAGCCTTACATCTGATTTTTAAATCTTTAACTAACAAGAAAGTAATCTAACTAATATCTCACTAAACCATCTAGCGCCTCTAAACGTTATGATCAAATAAAGTATTCGCGAAGGTTAAGTTAAGTTTATAACAAAATTCTATCAGTCTTTTCCCCTATCATTTTTATTGCATAATCCTTCACCTACCACTGCGTTGAAGTCCTACAACTATTAAGTTTTCCGTCTTCTATATCTGCCTACACCGCTTCTAGGTTGCTCGTCATTGTAAGATGACGTAGGCAAAGACCTGCACTACTACCGTTTTTACAAGTTTTAGGTTCAATTTAATCATAATTATCCTACCGCTTTTCTCTAAAGGGCTTTCTACATTCCTGCTTTTTTACGCATTACAATTCTTACCCCGCATTACTTTCTATCGATCCTGTATAGAAAATAACAACATATTTAATAATTTCGGGTTCGCCAACTACCATGTGAATATTATCAGACAATTGTGTGTGCTATTTTGCATTCCAAAAGAAATGATATTAATCTTACTAAAAATAAACCTTTTTAGCATGTGCTTCAGATTTTTCTAAGCTATCTGGAGTGCTTACTCCACCAGGAGAGAATATGACGCATTACACTTGCTCTTGGGTTCATGTAATAAATAGTGATAATGGACAAACATTAAGCCTCTCTATACAATTGAATAGTAATATTAATAAAGGAAATCACTTTTGTGCTACTTACGATTCTGTTTTGGATGTAATAATTGGTAAATTATGGTTGCATGAAAATTTCATGATTGATAATAATATTGATATTTGTTTTTAAGGAGATTCAACCCCCTTGGCCAAGTTTTGTGCTGGCTACCAAAGTTCTGTCATACTATCACCATATATTGTTACAAAGATCAATGTAAGTCGAAAATTATTTACTTATTAGATCGAAATTTAACTACTGTCTGCATCTAGGTTTACAAAAGTGAATCACACAACTTCAACTTTACCGTTGATTACGAAACCTATCCTTGTGGGGGGATAATATCTGATCCTATAGGTTCTATTTCCAGTCCAAATCTGCTAGATCCCTTAAATGGAAAAATTGATTGTGCATGGATATTTAAATTACCCTCTGACGAAGCTATAATGGTTAACTTCACTACCTTCCATTTTAACTCAAACTGTGACGACTCGCATTTAACTATGTATAGCGGTAGTTCACCAATGAGTCCACGAATAGGAAAATTCTGTAGAGATCAGTTGCCAAAAGATTTCCACATTCAAAACAACGAGTTGCTAATACAATATCATCAGAACGACAAAAGTAAAATATTAAACAATTTTACTTTATCATATGAAACAGTAAGTGAAGGTAGGTTTCTTCCTTTATATTTGCACATACAATACACGGTTATTGATTTAAGCATTTAAATCGTTCATTAGAAGTATTTAGAGAAAGAAAAGGAGTACCTATCTATTTAATGAAAACATTTTTGGAATTGTGCCATTTCCGGTTCTACTTAAACTTGGCTATTGTAAATGGAATGCCCCAGTTTTCTTAATTTTGTTGACATGCTTATTAAATTTAAAACATAGTTACTTCTAAGTGCGAACATTATTAAAGCATCACTGACAACGTGATTACTGTTTCGGGAATCAAAGAAGCTGGAACTTGAGGGTTTTCTTTTTAATAAAGGAACAGATCACGGAACTCCTATATTGGAAAAACTTCCTTCTACATTTTGAAACTTCCAATATTGTAGACCATACTCGCTTAATAAAAGAAACTTTCCGAGTTAATCAGCGCCGATTTAGTTGTGGTTGTAGTATGTTAATCTATATCAAAAACGAGATCTTTTTTCCTGATGAAAATTTTTAAGGTGTGAAACTAACCTCCGACGTTGATGCTCCTTAATGGTAATTGTCAGGTTTCACATATTTATAACTGATGTTTTCAAAAACGACAGAATGAATTAAATTCTGCATGAAAAACGGTGAAAAATGCTTGTAATCGTACATTTAAGAAACAAAAGATACAATTTCGAAGAGTTAAAAAATGATACAAATTCAAATGGAAAAAACAATTGATTATTTTTCAATGGGACCAATTTTAATCAAAAGAGCGTGAAAAATTACTAAATACGTGTCTTTACATTTTTTACAAAACATAGTAATTAGTAATTTTTACGCTCTTTTAATTAAAATTGACCCCATAAAAAATGATTAATACATTTTTTGCAGTTGAATTTGCACCATTTTTAATGCTTATATTATATTTCTTTTTGTTTCTTAAATTTGCGGTTACAACCACTGTTTACTGTTTTTCATGAAAAATTAAATCCATTAACGACTAAATGGGTTGGATAATTTGGAGGTTATTTTCGCTCCTTAAAAATGTTTATCCGAAAAAAAAATACCGATCTCATCCTTCTTGATTTAGATAAACATATTATAACCGCAACTAAATCGGAAGCGGCCATTTTGAAACGTTTTCATTTTAGTAACGTCTAAAAGAAACAGAAGAATTTTTTAGAAATTCTCGTATAAACAAATTTAACGCATGGGCTATAAACCCGTGTTTTTGTTTTTTAATTTTCCTTAGTGAAATTTTCTCATAGAGTCATTAAAAATTGTGTTCAGTGTAAATATACAACGGTAGGGACAAACATGTTAAGGTTAAGCATCAGATATTGTCACATGCAAGCAACCCAACATACAGTGTTACCTATAAGAAACCCAACATTCACAATGATACAGGATAAAGGAAGACGACATTGGCGGATTGGTGGTGGTGGTAGTCTAACCGGACAATCCAGAATGCATTACTGTTGGGACGTACGCTAGTAAGAAGGGGAACATTATCGATAGGTATCTGTTAGAACAGCCAATTTGAAAGACTTAGAGCAAAAGATCTGCAAAGACACACAAGTTGGGAGTACTTGAGCCAGTAGCTGAAATCCACCACCTTAATAGAACTGGCCAAAGGTCAAGTAATTATCTCAACAAACAAAAAGTCAAACAATTAAAATAACTCCTTAGCTGTGCTTGACACGTCTTCGCCTTCTCAGATCAGGACTTTGATATGACCAACTTAACATATGGGGTCACTAATACCTATCGCCTCCCACACAAACATGCTTACTAGCGTCAACGTGGTACTAGTTCACTTTGATTGCATCATCGGCAGTTTACTTAAACCAGTCCAGCCAAAAAGCGTTTCAAATAGACACAAACCACTCTCCAATTCAGTCTTTCTTTTCGTCATAATTTTTTCGACAATATCAGCCCCTATTAAAACATGATCTGTCCCTGTGTTGTGTTGTAAAGTCGAAGTGTTGCAAACCATGAAATTACATGCATAACTTCTGTTTAAATCTTTTGCTCGTACTATGAAAGTATATTTTTCAGATTTAGATATAATTTCATCAAAAAGTGCCATGTGTCATTTCTTGCTCTCTATGAAGTACATAACTTAATTTTTCTGCAACCGTATCAGTAATCGCTCAGGCTGTCAATATTTTAGAATGCGAAAGTACGCTTTCTCTTAATGTTTATAGTCACACTACCAGGAATTCGGTGAAGGTTACTAACTGTAAGTTACTTTCGGTCAAAGTTGCATTTAGTGGTCAGAGCATTGGTGCATAAAGCCAAATGTAACGGGTTCGATTCTCTGCGGGGGTGTGACAACAGCAACAATATTCTCTCATTAACTTGAGGTAATTTATAGTGGATAAAAATTAAATATGAATTTTCACATTAATATTTACTTTTTTTTATTCGTTATCACGTTTGTTTACGTCGTTTCCTCCCGCAACGGAAAAAAACCAAAACATATCAATATGATGTATTTTTTAGTACAAAGACAATTTTCGAGCTACTTACATGGTTTGTATTACAAAAAATACACATAACATTTTTATCCGCCGAAGCGATCAGTATGTTCGCACTTGCTACGTCTTTAAAATACTCCGAAGTACTATCGAGGGAGTACTTTTGGTCCTCTTACAATTTTCGTCTTCTACTGGAACACTGAAACCAGTAAGCGCCATCTCGAGACGCTCCTCTCTTTTAATTTCTATTTGTAAAGAGGCTATTAGTGGCTTTACTTTATACTAAGTGTTGTTTTATGCTTCATCATCATAGGGCTTTTGCAGTTCACCAATACACAAAGGACCTTTTCCGGGAGTAAGGAGTCTACCAGCCTATCTGTCGTAACGCCAAGTGATTCGAGAGGGCTAATATACTTTTCTTGTTTGTCGTATAGATTCAAAAGTATAAGCAATTTCTTATTTCCTTTTATAGCATTCCGCAATACAAATACCAGAAGTACACGCACATAACATTCAATAAACAAGTTGTTGCAGACAAATCGGTTCGTCAAACTTTTCACCACTTTCTCATAATTTATACCGATAAGCGAACGATTAATTTAGGAATTCGAAAAAGGTTGTTAAATGTGTATCTTTGGAGCACGGCGTTGTACGCGTGCGAAACATAGACAATGGGCGTGGCGGAAAAGGAAAGGTTAGAAACCTTCTAAATGTGGTGTTATAAGCGAATGATGAGGATAACGTGGGTAAAAAAAGGTTAAAAATGAAGAGGTATTAGAAAGAATAGGAGAATAGAGGACTCTATGGAAGTCAATAAAAAATAGGCGAGATAACTTGATAGGACACCTTCTCAGGCATGAAGGTCTAGTCAGAGACAAATTAGAAGCAGAAGCAGGAGCAGGAGTTAGAAGGGGTAGAGGTAGACCACTGTTCGCAAATAGTTAAGAATGTGGGTTGTTCTAGTTTTAGGGAAATGCGAAGTTTAGCTCAGGACAGGAAAGAGTGGAGGTACGTGTCCAACCAGTCCTAGGACTGACGATCTTATGATGATGATGATGATGAAGCGAATAACTTATTACTATATCGTTCGCGAGAGTACCGGAGATCGTAAAATCAACAGGTCGCTGAAACTTATTTTCCTTGGAAATTAGTAGAATTTTGGCAAATTCAATCTAGTAAAATTAGAGCACGGCGTAGATTGCGCGACTGTGCTTGGTGATGAGTGTAAACTCGCCACTGTTACATTTTCCGTGGGTGCCACTGTACATTTAATTAATTCATCTATTAAAGCTTAGGCGTCAAAAACTGATTTCATAGGCGTCATCTGATGCCGTGTCAATATTCTCTTCTATTCCATTAGATTCACAAAGCGCTTTCAAATAACTTATTCGTCCAGTTCTGCTATATTCGTTTCTAAGGTTTGTAAGGAAATAATCTTCACTTTCCTATTAGCATCGTTCTCCATTTTGGTCAGAAAGGCTATGTGCGCCTTTGTCAATGTCATATGTTGGAATTTCCTTTGTTTCTTAAGAGATTCCATTCCATTCCAATCCGAAATATAGTAAATAGAGATTACAATCACATCGTCAAGCCTTTGCAAAAAATGTTTACTTGTACCACAAAAACAATAATACAAAATTAACAAAATGACAGACACCAAAAGGCAAAAAAGAACATCAAAAAGGTAGTACAAAAATAGCATAATGTGGTGCTTTTTTGAAATTACGGTTAATAACATTATAATTTTATATAGTACGAGCTTTCGGATTGACCCTGGCAATTGATTTGATCTAACATGGACTCGACTCCACGTGGACCTTCGTTCCGTCAAGCAGTCCGCTTTAATTCCTCGGTTTTTCGAATTTCAGACTCGGGAGAAGGAATGGTAGCAATGCGGAGATGTCGGCGGATCTTGGGATGTAAGACCTCGATCAAAGTGCAACTGAGTATTCGTTCAGTCATTTCCGGATGTAGCTTACGGGCTAACAATAACTTTTTTCCCGTAAAAAGTTGTCTACGGGTTCAGATAGTTGATGATAAGTACCGAATAAAATCGCTCGGGCTGCGTCCAATATTCGGCCTATAAATTTTCTTTAAGCCTGTTCCAAATTATGGTATATATAGTAGAAGATTGTTTGTCTAGGAATTCGATGAGGACGGCTACCATCGCCTAGAGCTATGTTTTTCGTGTGTGTTGGTTCCGTTGTCATTATCACTTGACGCGGCAGCCACGTTGACTGTCATTGGTTCGACCATTTTGACAGATTTGGAGCTGTACGTGCAACCGCTGTGACGTGTTCTTTGATACGGTGATAAGGTATCGTGTTGTCCTAATTTAGGAATCGGTTTGTCGGGGCCGTTGTCTTTACAATTTGAGGTTAGTGAAACTCGTTGGAGGTTCTTTGCGTATGTGTAGTTCTTGAATCTCGTTAGAAGTTGTCTTCGTACTGTGTGTGGTTCGTGAATTAACTTCATCCAATGTTGTGTTTGTGTTCGGCCCGACGTGATTGGGAGCCACTGTTACCTTCTTCCTTTAGTGATTCGTAATAAACGGTGTTATTGGAGAAGATAATAAAAACTGGCTGAGCACTGACCACTTATTTAATTACCTCACGAACAACTATTAATGAATAACAACAGAAACAAAATGAAGTGAATTAAGAAATAAAAGAAAACCGCACAATTTGATTTTCTAGTCACCTTATTATTATTGCATGACGTATTAGCAACCGTCGCGATCAGCGCCATCAGTCTGTGGATTAGACGATGATTAGGTATACGGTAGATGTTTGTAAAAGTGGAAAGTAAAGACGGCATCATTGAAAATAAATTCAGCAATCGTTAAAGAAATTTTCGAAATTGAAGAAAGCGTCGACATTAAACTAGAGGGCTGGTAATAGTTCATGGGTGATAATTTCGTCTCGTCGTAGAACATACTTGAGGATATTTTTATGTTGGGCGCAACTAGGTTTTTTGATGCACTCCAAGAAGTGCGCTATCCTCCTGTTCGTTACGCTGTAAGACACGCAGTAGATAAATGGTAACGTCTTGCTAACTAACTCAGAAGCTTTCCTCGTTAAGGCAAACGCAAAGCTGTCCGGCAATTCAGTTAAAGAATTTAATATAATTGTTATAGTNGTTCGGCCCGACGTGATTGGGAGCCACTGTTACCTTCTTCCTTTAGTGATTCGTAATAAACGGTGTTATTGGAGAAGATAATAAAAACTGGCTGAGCACTGACCACTTATTTAATTACCTCACGAATAACTATTAATGAATAACAACAGAAACAAAATGAAGTGAATTAAGAAATAAAAGAAAACCGCACAATTTGATTTTCTAGCCACCTTATTATTATTGCATGATGTATTGGCAACCGTCGCGGTCATCGCCATCTGTCTGAGGATTAGACGATGATTAGGTATACGGTAGATGTTTGTAAAAGTGGAAAGTAAAGACGGCATCATTGAAAATAGATTCAGCAATCGTTAAAGAAATTCTCGAAATTGAAGAAAGCATCGCCATTAAACTAGAGGGCTGGTAATAGTTCATGGGTGATAATTTCGTCTCGTCGTAGAACATACTTGAGGATATTTTTATGTTGGGCGCAACTAGGTTTTTTGATGCACTCCAAGAAGTGCGCTATCCTCCTGTTCGTTACGCTGTAAGACACGCAATAGATAAATGATAACGTCTTGCTAACTAACTCAGAAGCTTTCTTCGTTTAGGCAAACACAAAGCTGTCCGGCAATTCAGTTAAAGATTGTAATATAATTGTTATAGTTTTTTCAAACTTATTGGGATATAAGAGTTATCTTTATTACAAAATAAATACAATATTGTAAGATTATCTTTTTATAATCAAATATAAGCTTAGGTGGCTAGATCAATAGTGAATACGCTTTGATTTTAAGTAAAAGTTATCATTATCTTCATCATAAGGTTGTCAGCCCTAGGACTGGTTGGACACGTACCTCCACTCGTTCCTATCCTGAACTAAACTTCGCATTTCCCTAAAACTAGAACAACCTACATCCTTAACTATTTGCGAACAGTAATCTAACCTAGGTCTACCTCTACCCCTTCTAAATTCTGCTTCTGCTTCTAATATGTCTCTGACTAGACCTTCATGCCTGAGAAGGTGTCCTACCAACCTATCGCGCCTATTTCTTATTGACTTCCATAGAGTCCTCTGTTCTCCCATTATCTCTAACACCTCTTCATTTCTAACCTTTCTAATCTTTTCTATCCACGTTATTCTTATCATTCGCCTATAACACCACATTTCAAAGGCTTTTTCTTTTCCGCCGCGCCCACTGTCGATGTTTCGCACCCATACAGCGCCGCGCTCCAAACATACGCCTTCAACAACCTTTTTCCTTGCGCTATCCTGTGCTTTATATCCCTACTACTCCTTCCGTCCTGACTTATCTGACTTCCTAGATACCTAAAATCGGCCACTTCTTCTAATTTTTCGTCTGTATATTCTCTCTTTCCCTACTTTTTCTTCCCTTGCATACTAGTATTTTAGTTTTACTTTTATTTATTCTCATACAGTACTGTTTTGTCAGTACCGCTTCTATTTTATCTAAAGCTAACTCTAAGTCCTCATTGCTAGATGCTAATACTGCTATATCATCTGCAAATCTAAGCATACTAATCTTTTGCCCTTGCACATACAGTTGTACTGTCTTTAATGATGTTGATCGCGTCTTCGGATGAATAGATTAAAACGTAGCGGTGACAGTGTGCATCCCTGTCTAACTCCCTTCCTAATATTTACTTCTCTATGTTGCAACCCTAGCTCTATAAGTACCTGTTATTCTTTAAACAAACTAAGTATCACTCTTATATCTTTATAACTTAAGTATATTTAACATCTTGTCCCATTTAACATTGTCAAAAGCTTTTTCTAAATCTACACATCCTATGTACGCAGTCTTTTTTTTTTCTATGGTTTTTTCTATTGTTACCCATAAAGCTAGAATGGCCTTCCACGTTCCTTTATTTCTTTTAAACCCAAATTAATCTTCTCGTAATAGTTCTTTTTTCCATCCTCCTCTGTACAATTCTAGTTAAGATTTTTGACGCATGGGAAGTTAAGCTAATTGTTCTAAATGTCTTCCACCTATCCGCGCTTCCCGTTAATAATCCTCTGGAACATTCCCCGTCTCGTAAACATGACTAACTAGCTTAAACATACTATCTCTAACCTCTTGTCCTGCATCCTACCCCTGACCCCTTATTATTCTTTAATTCTTTTAATGCTACATCGAACTCTTCTCTCATTATGGGATAACTTAACTCATCTCCACACTATCTTCCTTCTCTAATATATCTCCTAACTCAGGGCCTGCGTAGAGGTTCTTTAAGTATTCTTTCCACCTGTCTGCCTTTTACTCATTTTCTATCAAAATGAGCCCTGCCTCGTTTCTTATATTATTACTACTGTACCCTAAATGTCTAAAATTCCTTTTAATTATATCACACACCTCTTGTCCTGCATGTTCTAGAATTTCCCCCTGTATCCCATTTACACCTGGCGCCTTATTATTTGAAAACCGGCGAAAAAATATACACATTTTTCGAATATACTAAGTACGTTTCATTTATTCCACGAAGTCATTATGCGTATGACTTCATTACCAATTTTATGTTCGCTAACCAAAAACCTTGAAATGAGCAAAATATGCAATGGGTCAGTAAAAATTCCATTTTTTGAGTTATTATAATAATTCATAAGTTTAATTTATATTTCAAGTGTTTGTGAGATGGAAATCCATTAGTGTATATTTTTTATGCATATTAGAATCTACAAAAATATTGAATTAAACTTAGTACCCTCTTTAATATGTATTCAAACATAGGTGCTTTGCCTACTTGTTACAAATATTTGTTCTTGCTGTATTGATATTATTTATCACCTGCTTAAATGTTTTCAATTGTAAGAGCTTATTGTATTATATGATATCATTATGTTAACAGTTGTGCTCATCAAAACCTCGGATGTAGTATTTTTTTAACAGAAAGACACGAAAAAAACAATACAAAGTCAAAAGGTCTATCTGCACTCCGTTATTGTAATTATAAAGTCAATTTACAAAGTTTACATACTTATGAAAGAGTTTTTTTTTTATGCAAATAAGTAATTGCTTTGTTTATAGAGTTGAAATACTGCCTGTGGAAGTTTTTTGCAATATAC